GATAACAGCTCTGAGTCGTCTCCTATAATGTTTGATGGGGTAGGAGAACATATCCACCCTTTGCCAAGATAACAGCTCTGAGTCGTCTCCTATAATGTTTGATGGGGTGGGAGAACACACCCTCCCTTTGCCAAGATAACAGCTCTGAGTCGTTTCCTAGAATGTTTGATGAAGTGGGAGAACACATAGGAAGGGATTTGAGACCATTCCTCCATACAGAAACTCTCCAGATCCTTCAGAGTCCTTGGTCCTCACTTGTGGACTCTCTTCTTCAGCTCACCCCACAGGTTTTCACTGGGGTTTAGGTCAGGGGACTGGGATGGCCATTGCAAAAAAGCTTGATTCTATGGTCAGTGAACCATTTTGGTGTGGATTTGGAGGTATGCTTTGGATCGTTGTCCTGCTGGAATATCTAACAACGACCCAGTTTTAACCACCTGGCAGAGGCAGACCGGTTTTGACCTAAAATCTTGGAGTCAATGATGCCATGTATCCTAACAAGGTTCCCAGGGCCTTTGGAAGTAAAACAGCCCCACAACTTCACAGATCCACCACCATACTTCAGATCCACCACCATACAGTGGGGATTAGATTATTTTCAGCATGACCATGGCTCTTTTTACGTCAAACCCACCTCTGGTGTTTGTTGCCAAAAACCTCTATTTTAGTCTCATCAGAGTTCTAATGACATTTAGCAAACTCCAGGTGCTTAAGTTTGTGGTTTGGTGACAGCAGAGGCTTTCTTCTGGCAAATAACTTGTTGGCATGGAGGTGGCGTCTAATTGTAGTTTTGGAGACTTGGTGACCCCAAGATGTAACCAACTTCTGCAAATCTCTGACTGTGATCCTTGGAGATTTTTTTGCCACTTGAACCATCCTTCTCACTGTGCGTGGGGGCAAAATACACCTGCCTCCTCTTCCAGGCAGGTTCATCACAGCTGGTTTAAATATCTTAATTATTGCCCAAATAGTGGAGATGGGTATTTTCAGGCGAGTAGCTATCTTTTTATAGCCATTGCCTGATTTGTAAAGGTCAACAACCTTTTGTCTCATTTAATTTGTGTCTTCTCTGGCCTTTACCATGTTGATGGATGACTAAGAGAGTTTAGCCTGTGTGTCACCTCATATTTATACCCCAGCAAAACAGGAAGTCATGGATGACCACTTAAAGAGTTCCCAAAGACTCAGGATAACTTTTAAAAAGTAAAATCGGAATATACATCAATTAGATGTTGTTCATTTCTAGGGGTGCCAATAATTGTTTTTTAATAAATTAATTATGTATTGATGATGATTTTAACTAAATTAAAGGTTAGATTCATATGATATTTGGAGTGTAAGATCAAGCTGATAAACAACAATGACATTTTTTCACCTCCTTTTTTGTTCATATTTACCTGGGGTGTCAATAATTCAGGAGGGCACTGTAGGTACCTCTACCTCCTACCAACTAACAAAGCCATACATAAGTACGTCTCTGTCTCTCTTTCTCTGATTCAATCCATCCATATCTCTCTCTTTCCCTTTCTTCTGCCTGTCCACTAGGTGGTGCTGACTCAGCCTACTCTCTGTCTGTCCACTAGGTGGTGCTGACTCAGCCTACTCTCTGTCTGTCCACTAGGTGGTGCTAACTCAGCCGACTTTCTGTCTGTCCACTAGGTGGCGCTAACTCAGCCTACTCTCTGTCTGTCCACTAGGTGGTGCTAACTCAGCCTACTCTCTGTCTGTCCACTAGGTGGTGCTAACTCAGCCTACTCTCTGTCTGTCCACTAGGTGGTGCTAACTCAGCCTACTCTCTGTCTGTCCACTAGGTGGTGCTAACTCAGCCTACTCTCTGTCTGTCCACTAGGTGGTGCTGACTCTGCCTACTCTCTGTCTGTCCACTAGGTGGCGCTAACTCAGCCTACGTCCAGCGTCTGTCCACCTCTAACATCAATATGGACATGGCCACTTTCATCACCCTGGACCCTACTGTTATACAGGTAGGTAGGTAGGTAGGTTGGTGTGTGTTGTGTGTGTGTGTGTGTGTGTGTGGTTGTGTGTGGTGTGTGTGTGTGTGTGTGTGTGTGTGTGTTGTGTGTGTGTGTGGGGGTGTGTGTGTGTGTGTGTGTGTTTAACTATACTTGTGGGACCAGAAGTCCACACAAGAACATTAAACAAACAAACATTTGACCAACTGGGGACATTTTGTTAGTCCCAACAAGGTCAAATGCTATTTCTAAGGGGTTTAGGGTTAGGAGCTAGGGTTAGTTTTAGGGTTAGGGAAAACAGGATTTTGAAGGGGATTGAATTTTGTGTCCCCCACAAGACTGTGTGTGTGTGTGTTTCTACATCTGTGTGTGTGTATACCTCTGTAACTAGTTATCCCCCCTAACCCCTCCCCCCCCCCTAACCCCTCCCCTCCTCCTCCCCAGACTCTGAGCGTAAGCCAGGTGAGTGGTCTGCTAGGTTCTAACATGCCGGAGCTGAAGAGCTATGCAAACCAGAGCGTGGTCCAAGCCTGGATCACGACCCGTTTCCAGTCTGACCTGGACTCCCTTGGGCTGGGCCTTATTGGGGGCAAGGCCGACCCCACCACGGTTGGTTTGGGCACCATCTTTGTTCCTAGCACCACTGTAGGGGTAGCTGGAGGGGCTGGGTCAGTCACCACCGTGGCTGGAGGGACTGGGTCAGTCACCACCGTGGCTGGAGGAGCTGCTGCTACTACAGGTCCGTGGTAACACATTTCTGTTCCTTTTTTTTTCATCGCCGACAACTGTTCCTTTTCATCTATGAAAGCACAGCAGGTTCTCTTTCATTTCTCTGTGATAGTTTGATTATTTGACTGTTTGATTATTAAGCGCTTATAATGTACTGTTTTTGATTAGAGGTTCAGTGAACAATGTTATAATGTACTGTTTCTGATTAGAGGTTCAGTGAACAATGTTAATGTTATAATGTACTTTATATGATTAGAGGTTCAGTGAACAATGTTATAATGTACTGTTTATGATTAGAGGTTCAGTGAACAATATTATAATGTACTGTTTATGATTAGAGGTTCAGTGAACAATGTTATAATGTACTGTTTATGATTAGAGGTTCAGTGAACAATGTTATAATGTACTGTTTATGATTATAGGGTCAGTGAACAATATTATAATGTACTGTTTGTGGTTATAACATTGTTCACTGAACTCTAATCATAAACAGTACATTAAAACATTGTTCACTGAACTCTAATGTACTGTTTATGATTAGAGGTTCAGTGAACAATGTTCTAATGTGTGTATGTTCCTGTGTAGCGAGCGGCGGTGCGATCAACAGACCAGCGTTCGGCCTCCACCTTCTCCTCACCACTCTGGCCATCGCTATCCTGGACATTCTACACTGATTTAAACACTGATTTAAACACGGATTTCACTGATTTCAGAGATTTTAGATTTCAGAGCAAGAGAGTTAACTGATTCCATTGGGATCAAGGTGCATTCGGCTCAGACAGGAAAAACATGAGGTAAAGTTCTCAAACAGGAAACAAAAATGTATACTTTTAAAGTCAGTTAGTGCCTTTAGATATTGTAAAAATCACTAAATATAATTATATACTGAACCTATCAAAAGACTATAAAACAATCTAGCACTTTAGTTATTTAAATGTTTATGCTCTGACAACTTCTTCACACCATTTTATTTAAGTGTATTCACTTTGTAACCTGCCACAGTATGTCTGCATGTTCTGTCTTGGTGGTTGGAATGATGTTGGAATGAAGTCTCTTCTGTCTTGGTGGTTGGAATGAAGTCTGTTCCCTCTTGGTGGTTGGAAGGATGTTGGAATGAAGTCTGTTCTGTCTTGGTGGTTGGAATGAAGTCTGTTCTGTCTTGGTGGTTGGAATGAAGTCTGTTCTGTCTTGGTGGTTGGAACATTGTTTAAAGATGGCATTTTAGGGCTCTATTCAATCTGTATCACTGAAATGTAACGTTCATTTCCTATTGAGCCAACATCTGCAGCGTTTAGCGCGAATGCAGTCTACGCTAATGCGGGAAAATTGCCATTAAATTTAAATCATGATGTAACGCTGAATTTCCGCTATGTGGATTGAATAGAGCCCTTTGTCTTTGCCTTCCGGTGAAAATATGAAAGTATTTTATTAGATGACATAGAAGTCTTGTTGATGATGTCATCTTTCTGGGACAGCCGTTTGTTTTATTAGGGTTAGTATCTACGTACAGTACGCCAACACTTATCTACAGAGCCAAAACGCTTTTAAATGTCATGACAACCAACTCCTCTAATGTAGAATGATTCTGTCATTAGAATGTCACTGTGCTTTTGTTCATGTCAGCTCAAACAAATGCTGTCTGTGTTCTCAATGCCTTACCTTTATAACAGTTGCCATTTCATACTAAATATCAGACGTTGAATGTATGATTTATTTAATAAAAACATATATTATTGCACAATCCCCCCCCCCCCAAAAGTAGTATTTTATTCATAAAGAAATAAACAGCTACTGAATTAAAAGCTGATACGTTTTTCTACAAATGAAGAACAAAATGTTTAGTACTTGTGATTTTATTGTAATTTTCAGGGCTCAGTTTATTCCTAACAAACCAGTACAGTACTCAATCAGAAAGACTCAGTGCTGCTGCTTCATTGAGAAAATGATACCAATATAACTTATAGATCATACAACAACCATCAAAATACAAATTCTATGTTTTCTATTTCTTTCTCACAAATATTTTTGCTGTTGCCAAGGCGACGGTTAATTGCATAACAAGGGACAGGGCAGGATGGGACGGAACACTGTCAACGACAACATTCTGTGACAGTTAAATTGTTATATTCAGTTAGACTAATTTAGTCCTTCAAACACACGGTATGCTGTGCATTTCTACTGGGTGGAAGCTGAGAGAAACAGTCTGTTGTGGAAGAAAAAAAACTTGTCTCAGAAGACAAAACACAATGTTGTAGCTAGCTTCCCAAAAGACACAGGAGTCTCCTGCCGGTTATTACGCAGTTATAAGCGCTTATAAACCCCCAGGATGGTCTTGCAGGAGGGACACGTGTGCTTGGCGTCTTTGAGCCGGTCGAAACAGAAAGGGATGAGACAGCAACCCAGAAAAAACCTGAGGAGAAGGAGAAACAACAACTGTTAAACATTGTATGGAGATGCATCTTAAGACCTAAAAGGGATTTTTTTCTCTCTTAATCACATCACAATTAACTTTTACCAGTTAAATGTAGACACAAATATAATACTTTCTGTATAAAAAAAATGTTTCCTAACGGAGGCCTTGAGGCCGATACGTAAAGCTTAATAAAGAGCAGTGATACTATCAAGAGCAGTGATACTATCAAGAGCAGTGTGAGGGTTTCTTATTTTTTCTCATATTATTCAACTGTTACCATGGCACCTGCAACAAAGATAGCTCAGATGTGCGATTTCCTTTTGAATTGTAAAAATGTTTCAAAAATATTGTATTCAAATATGTAAATGAAGCGATATCTCATTAAATACAGTATGTGCATATTGAGCAAATGCATTTAATCCTGGACACTGGATTAAGTCAGCATAAATATTTTGGTTTCATTTTGTTAAGACACTCCAGAACTGGACTTGTCCAGAGCAGATTGTGGATAAATACTTTTTCCATCTTTCTATCTGTAAAATACTTAAGATGTATGTAAAATGCATTTTTGGTGCATTTTTCCAAAGAAAATTGTATCTAGAGTAAACAACATATCAACAATTCCCTCTGGGCAAGTCTGGAGAATATATCTAAGCATAACCTCACACAATTTGGTGAATGCAGATGCTTCTGAAGCTGAGAGAAATGTGTTGGCGTGTGGGAAGAGTCTCACTTTCAGGAAATGGCAGTTAAAGACAAGTACACTGAAATTACACTACCAAAGTCTATTTAGACACCAAACGCCTATTTGATCAACTAAAAAAAATATATGGATTTACATCGAGTTTGACATTTGTATGTTTATTTTTTTGAAAATACTAATATTAATGGACCAAAATACCAACAAATCTCCAGCTTGATAAGTAGACGCAAGTCATTTCAGCCTGTGGTGCCTGGCCTTAACCCACAGACAGTCAGAATGGCATTCACCACAGACAGTCAGAATGGCATTCACCACAGACAGTCAGAATGGCATTCACCACAGACACACACACACACACACTTGTACGTACCCACAGAAGAAGAGTCCTCCACAGAAGAGGTATGTGAGGACACCAGAGGAGAAGTCAACCTTAGTGACCACGGTCTGGTGACAGTTAGGACATGTCATCTGGACAGGACTGTCCCCAAACGCACCGATGGCCACTGGAGGAGTGTGGGGGGGGGGGGGGGGGGGGGGTAGACAAAGTATTTGTTAATTCTTTAATACATTTATTTGTTCATTCATTCATTCATTCCTCCGTCCCTCACAGCATGGTTTAATTAATTTATAAATTAATTCATTAAATTGCGTTCTTCCAACTATCTGTCCACTGGAAACACATGCTGTTTAACTTCCTTTATAGTTAAACAGAGTTTCACTCAACCCAAAGTACAGTAGGACATACCGACAGGCACCTGGACGTTGGCCATCCTCCCTGAGAGGAAAAAGAACTTGGGTACTTACAAAGAATTCACATAAAGACTTTCTACATACTAACGGAACGCTCAACAAATGAAGAGAATGATAGAGAGAAAGAGAAAGATGTATGTACTGTCACATGGGTCATTCAAAACTACAAAATAAAAGTATTTTGATAAGCTTAAATATTCATCATTACTTTTCACAATAACACACACACACACACATCTCTTATAAAGTACTTACAGATCCGCTGTAAGGGAGAGTCTTCCTGCTCTGCTGGTCCAAAAGGAGTCTGTTCCTCAGGCCAGCTTTTCTTTTACTCAGTAATATATACTCGCAACAGCCTAGCGTCTTGATACAAATCATACGCAACCCCGCGATCTCCCACCAAATAGCCTATACTGCTAACTACTCTACCCTGTCCTTGATCTCCCACCAAATAGCCTATACTGCTAACTACTCTACCCTGTCCTTGATCTCCCACCAAATAGCCTATACTGCTAACTACTCTACCCTGCCCTAATCTTTAATACATTTGCATAAATTACTAAAAACCTGTTTTTGCTTTATCATTATGGGATATTGTGTGTAGATTGATGAGGATCATTTAAAAAAAGAATGACTGTAACGTAACAAAATGTGGAAAAAGTCCAGGGGTCTGAAACGTTCCGAATGCACAGTACATATCTACCTCCATTACCTCGTACCCCTGCACGCCGACTCGGTACTGGCACCCCGTGTATATAGCCATGTTATTACCTCGTACCCCTGCACATCGACTCGGTACCGGCACCCCGTGTATATAACCATGTTATTACCTCGTACCCCTGCACATCGACTCGGTACTGGCACCCCGCGTATATAACCATGTTATTTTTACTCAGTGTGTATTTATTATTACTTTAATTATTACATGTTATTATTTATCTATTATTGCTCTTATTTTCTTTCTCTCTGCATTGTTGGGACGGGCCAATCAGCCGTCAGTAAGCGTTTCACTGTTAGTCTACACCGGTTGTTTACCAAGCATGTGACGAATAAACATTTGATTTGATCTAAAATAGCACTCTATTCCCTATATATCGTACTACTTTTGACCAGGTCCCATAGGATGCCATTACAGACGACGCAGCCCGTCTGTCCCATTCACCCCCCAACAGCTGAGAATCATCAGACCTCACAATCAGTCAGGTATGTGTGGATTAGCCCATACATCGTTGGCATAGTTACTGCTTCAGTATGGATGGAGCTGAAAGGGTACAAATAGCAGCCTATTCCTCGTCTTGTAGTTTTCACTTTGATTGAACAACGGGATAAAAAGGGAGCAGGTATAGTGAAGCGTTGGATGTTTATCTCAGTGTTAAAGATAACGAGAGAGAATAGCTAACGGAGTGAAAAACTGAAACCTGGCAGTCTTCTCTTCTATCTGCTGAAATGAGGAGCACATGTGCTCAGGGTGCTAAATTAGGTTACGCTAATAACGCTCAGGCCCACCCAACACACACAACCTACTCAGCGCAAGACACACACACACCACTGTGCCAGGTCATGAGAATCCGGCCACCTCTCAGGAAGTCATGTGTCCATGGACCCAATCATCCAATAAAACATTATCCTTCCTCAGCATCTTTTATGTGCCAATGATTGTATGTGTGTGTAAATGTCCCTTTTTCAGGACCCTGTCTTTCAAAGATAATTCGTAAAAATCAAAATAACTTCCCAGATCTTCATTGTAAAGGGTTTGAACACTGTTTCTCATGCTTGTTCAATGAACCATAAACAATTCATGAACGTACACCTGTGAAACGGTCGTTAAGACACTAACAGCTAGCAGACAATTAAGGTCACAGATATGAAAACTTAGGACACTAAAGAGGCCTTTCTACTGACTCTGAAAAACACATTTACATTTACGTCATTTAGCAGACGCTCTTATCCAGAGCGACATACAAATTGGTGCATTCACCTTATGATAGCCAGTGTGACAACCACTTTACAATTGTTTTAAAAAAACTATATATTTTTTATTTTTATTTGTAGAGACCATGTGAGGATATGACAGAGCCAAGTGACTTGGTGTATAGAGAGAATAGGAGAGGGCCTAGAACTGAGCCCTTGTCACGCCCTGGCTCTGGGGACTCTTATATGTTGAGCCAGGGTGTGGATATTCTATGTGTTATTTTCTATGTTTTGTTCTAGTTCGTGTATTTCTATGTTGGCCAGGGTGGTTCCCAATCAGAGGCAGCTGTAGCTTGTTGTCTCTGATTGGGGACCATACTTAGGCAGCCTGTTTGGCACTGTTTATTGTGGGATCTTGTTCCGGAAGGTTTGTGTTCAACCCAGGACTTCACGTATCGTTTGTTTTGTTGTTTTGGTTCGTGTTGTGTACTGCAATAAAAGAATGTACGCATATCACACTGCGCCTTGGTCCGCATCTATCGACGATCGTGACAGAAGATCCCACCATAAAAGGACCAAGCAGCGTGCCAAGCAGGAGGAGTTGGCGATGTCCCAGGTGGGCGAATGGTGGTCATGGGAGGACATATTTGCGGGCAGAGGGCCCTGGGCAAAGGTACAGGCCCTGGCAAGAGAGGAGAAACGGCACCAACCGTGCCGACGACGGACACGCGAGAGGCAACCCCAATAAAAAATTTTTGGGGGGGGCACACGGCATGGACGACGGGGCTGCTGGAGGCAGCTACAGGGTGCATCGGCGATTTAGGAGAGGAGGCCAACAGGTTTGGGGGGCTGGAAGGGTGGTTGGCGGAGCCTAGAGGTAGAGCAGAGCCAACTCCCCGTACTCAGGCTAGGCAGCGTGAGACTGGGCAGGTTCCGAGTTATGCGGAGCTACGTACTGTGCCGCGAGTGTTCCGGCACAGTCCTGTACGTCCTGTGCTAGCACCACGCATGTGTCGTGCTAAGGTGGGCATGCAGCCAGGACGGAGTGTGCCGGCTCAACGCTCGTGGCCTCCAGTACCCCTCCTCGGTCCCGGATATCCTGCGCCAGTGCCACGTGCTGTAGTGTCAGTACGAGTGCACAGCCCTGTACGTCCTGTGCTGATGCCTCACACAGAGTGTGTGGAAATAGGCATTCAGCCAGGACGGGTTGTGTCAGCTCTCCGTTCCAGACCTCCAGTCCGTCTCCACAGTCCAGCCCGGCCTGTTCCTGCTCCCCGCACCAAGCCAGTGGTGCGCGTCGCCAGCCCGGTCCGGCCCGTTCCTGCTCCCCGCACCAAGCCAGTGGTGCGCGTCGTCAGCCCGGTCCGGCCCGTTCCTGCTCCCCGCACCAAACCAGTGGTGCGCGTCGTCAGCCCGGTCCGGCCCGTTCCTGCCCCCCCGCACCAAGCCTGTGGTGCGCGTCGTCAGCCCGGTCCGGCCCGTTCCTGTCCCCCGCACCAAGCCTGTGGTGCGTGTCGCCAGCCCGGTCCGGCCCGTTCCTGCTCCCCGCACCAAGCCAGTGGTGCGCGTCGTCAGCCCGGTCCGGCCCGTTCCTGCCCCCCACACCAAGCCTGTGGTGCACGTTGCCAGCCCGGTCCGGCCCGTTCCTGCTCCCCGCACCAAGCCAGTGGTGCGCGTCGTCAGTCCGGCACGGTCCGTGCCTGTTCCACCGGTGCCGGACAGCTGCTCCACACTGGAGCCAGAGCAATCCGCTCCACCGATGTCCAGTCCAGCTCCGGCCAGCGGGACCAGACCAGGGGCGCTACGGGGGGGTAGAGAGAGAGTGGTGGTCACGCCCGGAGCCGGATCCGCCTCTGAGGCGGAATGCCCACCCGGCCCCTACCCTCTTGTGTTTGGTTGGCGCGGTCACAGTCCGCGCCTTTGGGGGGGGGGGGGGGGGGGGGGGGGGGTACTGTCACGCCCTGGCTCTGGGGACTCTTATATGTTGAGCCAGGGTGTGGATTTTCTATGTGTTATTTTCTATGTTTTGTTCTAGTTCGTGTATTTCTATGTTGGCCAGGGTGGTTCCCAATCAGAGGCAGCTGTAGCTTGTTGTCTCTGATTGGGGACCATACTTAGGCAGCCTGTTTGGCACTGTTTATTGTGGGATCTTTGTTCCGGAAGGTTTGTGTTCAACCCAGGACTTCAAGTATCGTTTGTTTTGTTGTTTTGGTTCGTCTTGTGTACTGCAATAAAAGAATGTACGCATATCACGCTGCGCCTTGGTCCGCTTCATCTAACGACGATCGTGACAGCCCTGGGGGACACCAGTGGTGAGAGCACGTGGTGCGGAGACAGATTCTCGCCACGCCACCTGGTAGGAGCGACCTGTCAGGTAGGACGCAATCCAAGAGTGAGCCACACCGGTGATGCCCAACTCGGAGAGGGTGGAGAGGAGGATCTGATGGTTCACAGTATCAAAGGTAGCAGATAGATCTAGAAGGATGAGAGCAGAGGAGAGAGAGTTAGCTTTAGCAGTGCAGAGAGCCTCCGTGACACAGAGAAGAGCAGTCTCAGTTGAATGCTATCTCTCTCAGAAGGTCATTCTGAGAGAGATAGCAGGAGAGTTGGCTATAGACGGCACGCTCAAGAGTTTTGGAGAGAAAATAAGGGATACTGGTCTGTAGTTGTTGACATCGGAGGGATCGAGTGTAGGTTTTTTGAGGAGGGGTGCAACTCTCGCTTTCTTGAAGATGGAAGGGACATAGCCAGCGGACAAGGATGAGTTGATGAGCGAGGTGAGGTAAGGGAGAAGGTCTCCGGAAATGGTCTGGAGAAAAGAGGAGGGGATAGGGTCAAGCGGGCAGGTTGTTGGGCGGTCGGCCATCACAAGTCGCCCATTTCATCTGGAGAGAGAGGGGAGAAAGAAGTCAAAGCATAGGGTAGGGCAGTGTGAGCAGGACCAGCGGTGTCATTTGACTTAATAAATGAGGATCGGATGTCGTCAACCTTCTTTTCAAAATGGTTGACAAAGTCATCCACAGAGAGGGAGGAGGGAGTGGGAGGAAGAGGAGGATTCAGTAGGGAGGAGAAGGTGGCAAAGAGCTTCCTAGGGTTAGAGGCAGAGGCT